GGGGGGGGGGGGGGGGGGCGGCCCCCCCCCCCCCCCCCCCCGTGGGAGGAGGGCTCCGCTGCCACTGCATCCACATCTGAATCTGCACGGGGCGGGGACCATGGCCTGGAGGGGAGTGTGTGTTGGGGTGTGTGTGGGCGGGTAGGGGGTTCTTTTGAGTCACACATAAGCGTTTGCTGAGACACTGCATTCCTGCTGGCTGGGCTTCCTCTTTCCAGATGCATTCCTGCCCCAGAGTCACCACGGAGACTGCTTGGAATCCAGCCCCACATTCTCCAAATTCAGGGCGAGATCTGACAAAGGCTCCCTCCCTTTACCTCCCCACCTTCTTGCTGTGGAGGGAGGAAGCCACCTGCCCCGACAGCCCTCCTACCCTCCTGCCCAGGGAGGGCTGGGGTGGGGTCTGGTATGGCTGGAGGGTTTGATGCCATGCACCCTCCTGGGCTTGCAAAGGGCAGTTCCTGCCAGGCTGGCATCCTCGGTTTCCCTCTCTGTATGTGGGTGGGGCATCTAGGAGGATAGGGCCTGTGGGACCACCCAGAGGACCATGGCTGGCAGTGAAGGGCTTGGGCCTGAACATCAAGGTAGTAGGCAATTCAGTAGGTAGATGGCCAGCAAGTCAGCCACTTGGCTCTCATTCTGCCTGCCAGGGGCTTGGCTGTGGGCCTCAGTTTCTCCATCCTATAATGTTATGAAATCTGATAGTTGTGGTTCTCTGAAGAAGGCTCCTGCAGAGGGTGTTTGAAGATGACTTCCAGGAGAGAGGACATAGGCAGACTGTCTTCTCCCTCCCAGTTAAATCACTTCCTCCCTGTAGCTCTGGCTCCAGATCCTCCCCCAGAGGCCCAGGTGCAAGTTTGCACGTCCACCAGATTCCTTATCTGCCGCCAGCGGATTTGGGTGCTGCTGGGATTTTTCCAGCCCTGCCCCCTGCCTCTGGAGGAGGTGACTTCCTTACAGGCCAAGACTCCATGTCTGGTCACCAGGCTATCTCGCCTTCAGCAGCTGTCTGGACTCCTTTTAGGATTGGGGTGATGGGTGAACTCCCACCGGCATAAGAAAGGTGGGGTGCAGGGAAGCACTTAAGCCTTGGCCCAGCCTCCAGCCTGTCCCCATCTCCTGCCTCACTTCTGCCTGTGCTCCCAAAGATCCACCCAGCTCCCAGCTTTAGGGAACCCGGATGAGAAGTAGTTATGGGACGGGTAGGGAGTTCAGACCTAGCCTAGGACACACAAGGCGCTGCAGTGATTGTAAAGGCTGTCCCTGTGGGCAGGAATCATCTCCCCCTTTCATTGCACTGGGTTTCTGAGACTTGCCCAGGCCACGCAGTGGGAGCGCTGGGATGCCTGCGTCCTCTGCCAGCACGTGGGGCTCCTGTCCAGTCCTCCCCCCACACTCCCGTGCTCCAGGTCAGCGGCAGGAAGACAAAGCCGGCGTGTGAACCGGGCTGGGGCGGGGTGACCCCGCGCCCCGAGCCAAACAGCTTCCCCAGGCGAGGGCCGCGTTCCTCGAAGGGCAGCACGGGTCGGGGCCCTAATCTGCTCCCCAGCCAGGACTGGGGGGCCGCCCGCACACCTGCACGCCCCCTCCCCTCCGGCCCCGCCCCTCCCCCTGCTGGGAGTGTCCCGGGGCCGCGCCCAG